TGGAGCAGCTTGAAGGACGCACCGGCTCTGTCGTGGTGGCGGCTGCTGCTCCTTCGTCGTAGATGCCCGACGGCGGCACTGGCGCCACTCCCGCTCAAACGGCGAGAGAGCGGCGATGCAAGTTCTTCTCGCTCTGCAGAGCAGCAGCGGCATCGGCTCGACGCGGCTCCTGCCCAGTACAGGCCCCTGATGGCGGCAACAGAGCCCCGCTTTGCAGACGCACCCTGGGAGATCACTGATCCTTGTGCGGCCCACTGACTGCACACCCATCGGCCTGTTCTCGATGTCCCCGACGGCTTCCAGTCTTTCCATGGCCCGCCCGCAGCAATAGGGCACCATGAACTGCAGCCTGAAAAAGAAAGAAAAATGATGAGATCGGAAGTAAGTGGCGGAGGCAGGGGGTGGCCAGCAGGGGCCAAGGCCCTCCCATGATCACACTTTCCTTTGTATTATGCATGTGAACAGTGAATACTTTTCATTTTTCTTTAAGCCGGCCCTCCCTAAGATCAAATTATAGGCAATCCTGCCTCCGCCACTCTCGGAAGAGATGGGCAGGCAGCGACAGCGAGTGAGCGAGAACATCAAGAACAGCCACAGAACGGCGCGCTCCGAGACGTCCGCTCGTCCCCCTCGTTCCGCAGCGGCTTTCGCGACCTCCACCAAGCCCCGCTCCTGGGCGTCTTCGTCGACATGTATGACTCCGACATGCCTGCCTCCGTGCCTAACCGCCACTGGTCCGATCCAGACCACACTGCCACCGCCCATGGCAATGACGTCTTCCTCGCCCGCGTCCCCGACGTTGAAGACGAAGGGTCCGACCCGGATCACATGTCGCTGCCGTCCGCGGCTACTCTCTAGATTGAACGATCGAAGCGAGGCCGACCCGATACACAGAGCAAAGCAGCGGAACGGCCCGAAACACCATGCCGGCCAATCACAACCCAACACAGCCGAGGAGGTCGACCCGGACGCCGCAGGCCATTACGGCTAGACGAAGAACCAACCATGGAGCTAACGTAGATGAAACAAAAGCAAAGGAAACAGTCGACAAACCACCGGAAAAGGGCCTATTTATAACCCTTGGCGCGTGCTGCTGTCGTCCAATGTAGATCAGCCATCGGGTGCCACTTGTGAGGATGGTGCGGGGGCCTCTGGAGTGTCCCGGACTCGGGATTTTTGCAATGTCGCTGTCCTTCCTCCCTTTCAAAGACTTTGTGATGTGACAAGCGTCTCTTGTGCGTATGTAGCTGCAATGACTGTGGAAAGTGGAAGAGACAATAAATGATGACTTTTATTGGGTGCTTCAATTACCTGGTCTCGAGTTTCGGGGTGAAACCTATAGGTGTGACCTTAGTTTCTTATACTTCACAATGGCGATGTTCTGTGCACCATTAACTTAGCGCATGAATTGCTCGAAGTTTGTTGAGACTTGATATCCGGAGTGAAAACCCACCATTTGGCCTTCAATTGTTGGACCTGGCCATGGTGGCGCTTGCGCATCATTCCCTTACCGCATGCGTCCCTTTTGGAGAAGCCCTTCAACTGTAGCCGTGACTCTCCTAGGTCCTCAAGGTGCACAATGATCACATGGCTTGCTGGTGATTTATTGTCTTCATCCTGTCGGTGTTGGAGTTCCTTCGACGGATCGAACACTACTAAATCCGCTACTTGTCGATCTGATCTTATGGATGGGTGCTAAATTCTAGTGGCTGCTTATTGTGTTAGTTATTCTATAGTTTGAAGCATTGTATCTCTTATGTTGTCAATTTTGATTAAAAACTACATGTCATTAAAAGATATAGGATAGACTAGATCATACAGGTTGCTCCAAGGCATTTCAATAATTTTGCTTGACATTGAGTTGACATGGGAAATAGTTCTTCTGTTGTCACTTAAACTATTGATACTACCTTGAAAGAAGAAAGGAAATAAAAGAAAAACTAGAGTAAATTCAAAATAATGAAGCTTTCTAAAAAGTATGAATTAGTGATATTGGTCTTACCCTTAAAAAAGAAAGGAAATAAAATAAAAAACAAAATCAAAACAATGAGGTTTTATAAGGAATAATAAATTAGTGGTATTGATATTACCCTTTAAGAAGAAATAAAATAAATAAAGGAGAAAATTTGCACACAATTTATAGGAAATTTACGTTTTTTAACAATATGCAAGTATAAACATATAATACTGGAATTTCTGCAAAAAGAAGTTTTCTAAAAAGGAATGATAGTGGAATGAATATTACACTTAAATAATAAATAATATGAAATAAAAATAAAAACAAATAATAATAATGAAGTTTTTTTAAGGAAGGGTCAATTGTGGCATTGCTTTACCGTTTAAGAAGAAAGCAAAAAGGAAAAAAATATCTAATACAAACAATGACAAATTTGCACACGGTTTACAAAACAAATGTGTTTCCTATAATATACAAGAATAAGCACATAATAGTGAATTTCCACAACAAAAGTTATCATCAGAAGGAATGAATTAGTGACGTTGGAAATGAAAAAAAAAATAAAAAATGAATAAAATTTTCTAAAAAAGAATGAATAAATGGCTTTGGTATTACCATTTAAGAAGAAAGATAATGAAATTAAAATAAAATAAAATCCAAATAATGAAGTTTCTAAGTAAGAATGAGTTAGTGGCATTGATATTACCACTTAAGAAGAAATGAAATGGCAAACAAAATCTAAAACAAATAATGAGAAAATATGCACACTATACACACAAAAATTAAACTTTTTAATAAATATGCAGGAATAAGCATAGTGGAATTTTCACAAAAAAATGTTACTATGAATGAATGAATTAGTGGCAGCGGTGTGACCCTTAAAGAGTAAAGAAAATGAAATAAAAACAAATAAAATAAAAAGTAATGAAATTTTAAAAGGAATACTGAATTATTGACACTGACATTACCATTTATGAAGAAATAAAACTAAAGAATAAAAACTTGCACCTAACTTTAATCTGAAATTGCACTTTTGTATTAGGCAAAAAGTAATAATACAATAGTGCTATTTTCGCACTTATTAAATACTCCTCCGATCCAAAAAAAGTGTCGTGGCTTTAGATCAATTTTAGTTCAAATTTGAACTAAAGTCACAACACTTTTTTTGGATCGGGTGGTGTAGTATTTGTGTGTATACATTTATACTCATCGAACGTCCCAAAAATACCCACAAATAAAAAATAGAAACCGGCTAATAAAAAAGAAAAAAATTAGCAAAGGTGCATAAAAACAAAAAAAAGGGATAGAGGAGAAGGTTAGGTCGTTAGACGGGCGAGATAGGGCTCGCTTGGTCGCAATAGGTAATGGGTCTCAGCCCGTTAATGAATTGACTGATCCAAAACAGAGGCCAACCAAACGTTACCGGCCCAAAACAAGACCCACCACACAACTAATATATAGAGTCCGTTATGAGAAATTGCCAGACTGGTGCGCTGTCTGTGGTCACTTAGGGCATATGTATAAGGAGCATGGGGATGGTGTTCATCCTCCGTCTTCTCTGTACTTCAAGGACCACAAGGGTCAGTTAGGGCATATGTATAAGGAGCATGGGGATGGCGTACAGTAATATTGAAAAGCTGCATGCTCGAGCAGCTTTCATGCTAGAACGGCACACAAAAGGAAAACAAGATGCTAGAGCCACACAATGATGAAGCAAACACGTTCAAAAAATTTGCAAAACAAACTTACAGCCACACATGAGTTTTACCTCCCCACATCCCAAAGAAATGCACGTGTCACCAACCAACATGCTGAGAAGTTGCTTTCATCCAAGTGGGTAAACGTGAGCGCAAAAAGCCTCCCAGAAATAGAGGCTTGGGTATTTATACTGAACCCCCACCTCAAATAACCCCCTCTTTTTTTTGAACTTTCAAATAATCCCCTCTTAATTTACTAGTGTAGCACCGTCCAGATTATACATTTTTCTTTCTGATAAAATCTGCCCAGATATTGTTTCAGTAGTAAGGAAAGTAATCTCCCGTCATCCAGTAGTAGCACACACAGCCTGCTTGAGCAAGCCAGCAGTAGTCCGGCTACTACCTTAACGTGCCCATATTTTCGCCGACGGTGACAGATCAACCGCCGATCCAGCCAGTTCTCCTCGTATACCATCGCCCAGCGCCCTGAGCATGCAAAAGCGCCTCTCCATCTATCCCCTGCTTGGGAAAAAAATTATATGAGACCAGGTCTCATATAAATCAGATGAGACCCGCCTTGATGGATGACATGTGGCATTCACAAATCACAAAGTATCTAATCTCTCCCCCCCTGATTTCAGGTGGGGGTGGGGTGGATGCTTTGTGATTTACGAATGCCACGTGTCATCCATCAGGATGGGTCTCACCTGCTAATCTGTGAGACCTGGTCTCATAGAATTTTTTTCTCCCTGCTTGCCGTAGCCCTCCCGCTCCCAACTCCAATTGGCTCACAGACAATCTCGCATTTAGGTCGTCGTCCTCCTCCTCTCCTTCACTCCAAAGTCTTCCGCCATGCTCATCCAGACTCCTCCTACTGGCATCCATCTCCCTAGTGTAGAGAGAGAAGAGAGAGCCTTATATTGCAGTGCAAGAATTGATTACGATCATTCAGAATCAGATTGTAATGTCTCCGATAATTCAACTCCTAAGCTGAAGCAACCATCCGCTCCACGGCATGCGGTAAGTGGATTAACCCATGAGCCAGTGGCAGATCAAGTGATCGCTACGGTTTGCGTATCGCAGCCATGTTCGGTTCCTTTCTCTCAATCTCTTTGAATAACGGCGCCTTGTGTAGCTTGCATTGCAATCCCAGGCAGATTACTTGCTTGGAATGGTTCGTTGGCCACTCTCCGTCTGGCTTTGCGGAACCTGGGATCGGCAATGGGTAGTATATATAGGCCACCGGTTATCCGCATTAGCCTCAGAGATCAGATTAGCCGGCCAGATCAAGCCAGCCGCCCTCGCGTACAGCACTCTCGATCGGTGCGCGCGCGTCGAGCAAAGCAATGGCGATCGCGGACGACAACATCATCCTCAACCCGGAGTTCGACGGCGGGCTGGACGGCTGGTCCGGCAGCGGGTGCAAGATCGAGCTCCACGACTCGCTCGACGACGGCAAGGTGCTCCCGGCGACCGGCAAGTACTTCGTGGCCGCCACGGGGAGGACGGACACGTGGAACGGCGTCATGCAGGACGTCACGGCGCGGCTGCAGCGCAAGACCGCCTACGAGGTCGCCGCCACCGTGCGCCTCTCCGGGGCCAACGTCTCGCCGTGCGAGGTCCGCGCCACGCTCGCCGTGCAGACCGCCGACAGCAGGCAGCAGTACATCGCCGTCGGCAAGTATGGCCATTTCCCTGCCCTGCCGGGTCACGGTGATCAACATTGCCTGCCAAGTGCCTTTGGTCTCATGCCGTGTGTCTTCTTCTTGTGCGTACGTTATGCAGGTTGCAGGCGTCGGACAAGGACTGGGCGCAGCTGCAGGGCAAGTTCCTGCTCAACAGCACCGTCGCCAAGGCCACCATCTACGTCGAAGGGCCAAAGGCCGGCGTCGACCTGCTCCTCGACTGCCTGGTGGTCAAGCACGCCCAGAAGGCGCCGCCGTGCTCGCCGCCGGACTTCCAGGTGAACGCCGGCCATCCATCAAATTTTACTACTCGATTAATTAGCTAAACTGTCACATTACGGTTTGCGTCAAGCTTTGCATGCACAGCACGTAGTGCTACAACGCAAAATTGAAACTGAAAACGGTGCAGCTTAAAGCAACCGCCATATGTTTTGCGCGGATCTTAAAGCATTCACAACAAGATCAACTGGTCAAAAGGTTTGACCATGTGTGTGTGTTTTTTTTTTCCCAGAATCTTGAGTACGGTGCCAACATCATCCAGAACAGCAACCTGGACGACGGCCTCAACTGTTGGTTCCCGCTCGGGCCGTGCGCGCTCGCCGTCCGTGACGGCTCGCCGCGCGTGCTCCCTCCCATGGCGCAGGAGTCCCTGGCATTGGACGACGAGCCGCTCAATGGCAAGCACATCCACGTCACCGGCCGCACGCAGACATGGATGGGCCCCGCCCAGATCATCACCGACAAGCTGACCCTCCACGCCACGTACCAGGTCTCGGCCTGGGTCCGCGTCGCTGGCCAGATGAGCGGCCCGCAGAACATCAACATCGCCGTCGCCGTCGACAGCCAGTGGCTCAACGGCGGCCAGGTCTTGGCCCGCGACGAGCGGTGGTACGAGATCGGCGGTTCGTTCCGCGTCGAGGCCAAGCCGGCGTCGCGCGTCATGGTGTACGTCCAGGGCCCTGATGCCGGCCTGGACCTCATGGTCGCCGGCTTCCAGGTTTTCCCCGTCGACCGAAAGGCCCGGGTCAAGCACCTCAGGAAGATCACCGACAAGGTGCGCAAGCGTGATGTGGTCGTGAAGCTGACGGGGGCTGACGGCGCCGTGGTGCAGTCGGCGGAGTGCGTGGAGGTGCGCGTGCGCCAGGTGTCCAACAGCTTCCCGCTGGGCGCGTGCATCATGCGCACCAACATGGACAACGAGGACTTTGTGGATTTCTTCACCAAGAACTTCAACTGGGCCGTGTTCGGGAACGAGCTCAAGTGGTACTGGACGGAGCCGCAGAGGGGGCAGGTCAACTACGCCGACGCCGACGACCTCCTCAAGCTCTGCTCCGACAACGGCATGTGCGTGCGCGGCCACTGCATCTTCTGGGAGGTGGACAACATGGTGCAGCAGTGGGTCAAGACGCTCTCCACCGACGACCTCTCCGCCGCCGTCAAGAGCAGGATCGACGGCCTGCTGACCCGCTACAAGGGCAAGTTCCGGCACTACGACGTCAACAACGAGATGCTGCACGGCTCCTTCTACCAGGACAAGCTCGGCAAGGACATCCGCGCCACCATGTTCAAGACGGCCAACGAGCTCGACCCGGACGCGCTGCTCTTCGTCAACGACTACAACGTGGAGGGCATGTGCGACATCCGCGCCACGCCCGAGGCGTACATCGAGCAGATCATCGGGCTGCAGGAGCAGGGCGCGCCGGTGAGCGGCGTCGGGCTCCAGGGGCACGTGAGCAACCCCGTGGGGCCGGTGATCCGCAATGTGCTGGACCGGCTCGCCGTGCTCGGCCTGCCGCTCTGGTTCACGGAGCTGGACGTGTCGGCAGCGAATGAGTACGTGCGCGCCGACGACCTGGAGGTGATGCTGCGGGAGGCGTACGCGCACCCGGCGGTGGAGGGCGTCATGCTCTGGGGGTTCTGGGAGCTCTTCATGAGCCGCGACTCGGCACACCTCGTCAACGCCGAGGGGGACATCAACGAGGCCGGACGCCGGCTGCTGCAGCTGAAGAAGGAGTGGCTCACGCACGCACATGGTCACGCCGACGAGAACGGAGAGTTCAAGTTCCGTGGGCATCACGGCGCGTACCACGTCGACGTGGTCACGGCCACCGGCTGCAAGATCACGCAGGAGTTCGCCGTCGACAAGGACGACTCACCCATGGTGCTCAACATCAATGTGTGAGCAATGCACGCGCGTTCCATCGATAACTCGATTTATATGGCGGGGAATTAAGTCCTACTAGATACTCCATGAAGCAAGGGGTTGTGAATCTAAGCTCGGATCGATGTCCGAGAAATAAGGGGTTGTGGAAATTCTTATGTTCATCAACTTGAACGTGCTATATACACGCAAATATGGGATTTGTACTGCATTTCTACGGTGTGCTTGTGAGAAAACAAAGTGCTAGCCAAATTAATATGTTTGCCTATTAATCATGAACATATTGCAAAAGAAGAATGGCGACGCGACTCCTTGCCCTTCGAATAGTTGCCCCAGGAACGGAGAGCATGTTCTGGGGTATCACGGCACGTACAACGTCATTGTGGTCACGCGTACTGGTGAAAGGATGAGTCGCTCATGGTACTCAACATCAATGTGTGAGCAATGCGCATGTTCCATCCATAAATTGATATATTGACCTTTCAAAAATAAATTGATCGGATTTGCTAGAACTCATTTGAATGTTTTTTTCTTTGGTCTCATTCGTTTTTGTGGCCGTCAGATCGAAACGCTCCACGATTCGTGTGTCCAGGTGGAGACTTCGCCCGACGGGGTGGCGCGGCCCATGTGTTGTCCCGCTGGCAGCCCATCTGTTGTTTTTTGTTGTATGGGCTGCAGCCTCCTCGCACTTCCGTCAGGCCCTGATGTGGATGTGCATGTGGATGGATCGGTTAAGTACACAGGAGAGGAGAGAAGGTACCTATTCCACCAACAACACAGAGATAATTCCCTGACTAGCCCACAAGACATAGAGGTTATACACCAACAACACAGAGATAAGGAGTAAATCAGTCCGCGTCTGCATCCTTTGAAACCACAATAGTATGCCAACTTTGAAACCACAATGGTAGTCGGGTGATGGTCCAAACACTGAGTTGTTAATGGGGAGTGTTTGCCCATTTATAGCTATGCTATCCATGTTATCTATTTATAACCCATGCATTTCATCAATAAAGTTAGGGGAAGCACCACTAACTTGATATGGGGGTGGGAGGGCATTGGTCCCCTCACCCCCAATGAATCTCCACAAGTGCACCAAATTAGAAAGGTCTTTTATTTTTTATAATAATGTTAATGTTATATTTGGAATGTTTTTACACGAAAGGAGGTGAAAATTAGCAAAATATTTTTAAGAACCCGAGTGCTACTTCTACTGCCTCGCGCCTCAAAGAGGGCAGCGAGTAACTCGCGGCGGCTTCTGGCATGCGAAGAGGCGTGAACGCATCCATAGCACGGATGGCTCTCTTCTAGGGACGAAGAGGAGATATTTGTACATGACAAGCAGGACAAATGCAGTCTGTATCGGCTGGATTATGTTCGTGGTATCGACAGAGAAGAACGATTAGTGGGTGTTGTGCGCTATCTCCAAATCTAAGCGTGGCAAGTCCAAGCGCAATCGCAAGTCGGATCGACGCGACGAGTCGCTGGGCTCGCAAATAAAACCCCCACCAAAGATATTCCCCACTTGGGTAACTACCACCTTCTTCCGAAAATAGAATGCCCATTAGTTTTAGTCAAAGTCATGTTATGCGCCACATTTACAACAAACAAGACACGGTTTCGTTTACCCATTTATAGTTATGCTATCCATGTTTAACTATTTAAAACCCATGCATTTCATCAATAAAGTTAGGGTAAGCACTGTTAACATGATATGGGGGTGGGAGGGCATTGGCCCCCTCACCCCCAATGAAGCTCCACAAGTGCACCAAATTAGAAAGGTCCTTTATTTTTCTATGATGATGTTAAAACTATATTTGAAACTTTTTTATATGAAAGGAGGTGAGAATTAGCAAAATATTTTTTAAGGAGTTACATGTAGGGGGTAAGCTAGTTCAGATCTCTTCTGGCATCCCGAAATTATTTAGAGGCTACAAGTAAGTTGCTTATAAAAATTAAGTATTAGGAATAGGATAGAGATGCCCTCATGTATTATCTTTACTTCTAGCTCATCATCCGGGCAACTATTCTATTATCTTTAGTGACAGTAACAGAATACAAGCCTTTTTCTCTTGCTATCATCGAGATAAATTACTTGGAGGTTATACCCAACTAGTGCACACTACACCCTCATGCAGATCACCCATCTAAACATGTCTAGTGAATAAACTAATAGATCCAAAAGCACGTATATCTATAAATCATCCGACAAAGAACCAAAACAAAGCAAAACATATCGTATATGATCTTAAGTATTTTTTCACAGTTTTTTATTCTTCATCTTTGTTTAATTTAAGTAATTTGCAGCTTCTGAAGAATCTCGTTGAAGACTTCCACAGAACTTACATGTTCCGCTGCATCCAATTTTATGTTGTTATTCAGTGTTCCTGTACTGAGGTGTATCTGTCTTTGCTTTAGACTCTTTTAGATGTCATGTTTCATTGTTTGCATGTTATAATTTACACTGATGATCTTGTCTCGATTCTGATTGCATGTGCACATTAGTATTTCTTCAGTTTATTTTATTTCAGTTCTATATTATTCAAAAATTAGGCTGCTCGAATAATTCTGAAAAATCTCCCATTCACTCTCTAATGGTTGATTAAACTTTATTATAGTGTTGCTTCATCCTTAATGTCTATCTCATCAATAAGCTGGATGAGTTTTTGTTTTTCAACTTTATGAAACACACCATCAATCTTTAGCCCAGCCCCACACAAAATTTTCAAATATGTTGGATTTTTTCTACCATCTTTGAATAATCGTGTTACATCTATTTTCTGTACCTCATTCGAAAGCTACCAACTCCACAAAGCCTTCTCGCTCAAACCACGATAATTCAAAAGAAAAGGCCAACTTCTTTCACACATGAGTCACCTCACCAAAGTCAACAAGTAGAGCTGTATGATCAGACAAATCCCTAAGCAACCCTTGCACTGTTAGGAGGGGACATTTGTGTTTCGATTCCAACTTGCTAAAATGCGACCCAACTTTTCATAGGTTGGAGTTTCAAGATTATTTTCCCGAGTATATTGCAGACCAGCAAGAGCTATCTCCATCAAGTTGAGATTTTCAATTATAGCATTAAACATGAACATACATCTATCATCAAAGTTATCAGTATTCTTCATGCATGCCTATGAATAATGCTAAATTCAGGCCCCACAAATAGGGCACATTCTGGTCTCCACAAGTACAGACTAATTCAGCAAAGAAGGTGGGTTCGTGCTCAGGTTGCGCCGCTCCATAAACAGCAACAAGGGGCCAGTCAGTTGATGTACGAGTTAGTTGAGACTTTTTCATTTCTCTTCTAGATGAGAATTAGCAAATTCGTCTTTTAGTAGTAAGATCTCTCCTACATACTTTCCCTTTTTTTTCAACATCCCTCCATGCCCCGCCTCTCTTTTTGGTTCTACGGATTTTTCATCGGGTTTTCTTGAAAAAAAAATCCTCATATTCATTTAAATGTTGGTAAATCACACCCATTGTGTATAAATTACTTACTTTTGGAAAATATGCAACATAAACGTTTGCGCACATAGTGTATTGTGTTATGCCAACTGCACCATCTGATCACTGCCATGTAGCAGATGTACACTCCACTCTTGCTTGTCCCATGACTTCCTGGGGACATGCAAGTGTTTACAGGACTCGCAGTGTTGCACCATCGTGATGTTCAATATTTATTCCCCGTTGCAACATACATGTGTATCTAATTTTAAAGAAAAAGAAGGTGGACGGTAGCTCGCTCGAGGTCGAAGATTGTGGAAAATGTTATTTCACGCGGATTTCGTATGAAAGTAGTATCTTTGCTAGAAAACTCACAGCTCCTTCGGGCATTGGGGTTGGACCAGTTATCCTTTCCTCGTCTCGTAAGTTACTCATAAGAATGGTTTTCCTTTACATTTTCTGATTTTCTATGCTGAGCTGGCTTTCTGCTTTTTTCCCTTTTTGTTTGCTTTTCTCTTTCATGTTTTTCGATTCTCTGTTTTTAAGAAATGGTATTGATATTTTTAATAATAATATTTAAAAAAATCATGGGTTGTTTTAAAATTCTGTTCAAATTTCCTTATTCATAATTATTTTTCATCCATAAACATATTTTCAATCCGTGATTTTTTGTAACACGGAATTTTTTTAATACATTGCTTTTTCGAATTCATGAACTACTTGAAATGCATCAAAAATTGGTAAACATTTTTCCTTTTGAGCCAAATCCATTGATTTTTCAATATGCCGTTCGTTACGACTGCAAAAAGGTGAGCACAGTGGAAATCTTGACCTTATGCTATTTGAACCTACCACATTCAAGTGTTTGTCAGAAAAAAAACCTGGCCCATTCAAGCGATAGAGGGACTATTCAACACTTAAGCGCCGTATACGGGTACTCCTGGTATGACGTATGTTGGGTCAAGAAGTCGAGCAACTAGTGTCTGGGACGGCCCAAGTAGCATACAACATACGAGTGTTGCCTACCCCCGGTTTTTTAGTATTCTTTTTGTTTGGCTAGGTTTATCTACAGTTTTGTGCTTTTCCTTTTGTCATTTTCATTTCCTCTTTTTCTTTTTAAATTTGATAAACGTGTTTCTAAATCCAAGAACTTTTTGAAAATCCCTGAACAGTGTTCTTGATTTATGAACAGTTTGAAATATGAGAGTATTTCTAAGTTCATAGACTTTTTAAAATTCACGAACATTATTTCAATTTTGCAAACATTTCTTAATATTCAGTTTAAAATTTTAAAACCTATACACAATGGCCTGTGGGCCATTCGGATTCTGTTGCTGCATATTACATTATTGTTTTTTGTTTATTTCTATCGGTTTATTCCGTTATTTGATTGTTTTTATAACATAAAAACATTTTACAATTTTTGGAAAAATGAATGTGTTTTTTGAATTCCTGTAATTTTTTAAAATCCGAACAATAGTAAAATCTACAATAAAAAATCGACATGTGCACATTTTAAAATAGTTACGAACATTATTTAGACCATTTTAAAATTCTAAAACTGGTAAATATATTTTTAAAATTAATGAATACTTATATAAAATTTTAGAATTTTAATTCTAAAAAACTATAGTTCTTAAAAAACTTTAATTTTGAGAAAATTTAAACACTTTTCGGACAAAGTGAAAATTCTTTTTGAAAACTTTGAATTGATAATTAAAAATAAGAAAATAAAAAATAAAAGGCAATTGAAAAATGCACTAAAGTTGGTCAGCACGTGCTAGGCTATTAAAAGGTCTGTGGGTAGGGCCTAAACTGCTTATGTTTTGAGAGAAGTGCATATTTCAATCCTGAACTTTAGTGCTACTGAATCCACCACTCCAAACTATGAAACAGCTTAGACTACACCCTTCAATGCTAATATCGGTTAAATTACCCCCACGAGTTGATGGGAAGGTGGCTTTGTGCGACGTTAATATCGGTTAAATTACCAACTCCTATATGTTGGTCCTATATGTCAGCCTCTAATCTTCCTTTCTCTCTCCTCTTCCAACTCCACTCCGGCCTGGGCCTCATTGTCACGGTGGCCTCCTCAACAACCTGGTGCGCCTGCGGCCTGCCCCGCCAAAGCCAACACGTGGGCCGCCTACAAGTTCTCGTCTGGCATCCCTACGCTCGTTCTCTGCCTCTCCCGCGCACGGCCGTAGTTCGAGGGTGTAGTCCAAGTGGTTTCATAGTTTAGGGTTGTAGATTAAACTCGCCCTAGAGTTTAGGGTTAAAATATCCACTTCTGTCTTATGTTTTAGAGACACAACTTTTTTTGACAATCTAGTCTAGCACAAAGTTAGAAAAATATCACAAAGTCACACGGCACAAAAACTTGTTAGCACCAATTAAGAGTCAGAAAGTTGTGTATTAGCATTTATCATTCAAATCAACTATAAAGCCACGTATACAAACATGCAAACATAGACGCATACAATGTCAAATCCCGGTCCCTATATATATGACCATTACACGAAAATGCCTTTCTCCTCAGCTGAGCTGCTGGATCCCGCCTAGTAGCTTGAAATCACTCCCGTTCGTTTGCTGTGGAATTAATTAATTCTCACTCACATCTGTGTATTTAGCTTTGTACGTGTACACACCACCAGTAAACCTCAATCACACCGTGCATCTCATATACTACCAACTTACGTACGTTACCTACGGCGGCGTGGCCATCACGGTCCACGGGGATACGCGCTTCCTCCGGCGAAGTAATGCCCGTCCGTCGTCCGAAAGGGGGCGGGAGAGCTGCTGGAAGCGCCGCCGTAGGGGTGGTGGTGGTGGTGCTGCGGCATGTACTCCATGGCCGGCGGCGTGGGCTTCCAGTGCCGCTTCCGCTGGTTGATGAACCAGTTGTTGATCTGCTTCGCGTCCAGCCCCGTCGACTGCGCCAGCGCCGCCTTCTCCAGTTCCTGCCGAGGCATGCACGCCATTAACTGCTGAAAAGGCCTTGCACACACACACACACACACACACACACACACACACACACACACACACACACACACACACACACACACACACACACACGAACGCCGTGACATGCATGGCCGGCGTAGGGTACGTACCGACGGGTAGGGCCATCTGTAGTGCAGCTGCCACCAGTGCAGGAGCTTCTGGCGCGCGTCTCTAGGCAGCTTGCCCTTCTTCTTCTTCTTGGAGAGATCCCGCCAGAGGCTGCTCAGGTAGCCGCTGTACTTGTTCAGGAGGTGGCTCTTGAGTTCCTTGTCCTCCGCGCAGTGACTCGTGATCTCCGGCAGGCCGCCGACGTCGCCGGCTTCTTGCTCGTCTTCCGAGGAACCGCCTCCTTCGTAGCTGTGGTCATCTGCTTTGTCACGTTGGCAATCGAGTAAACAAGGATGTCAGATAAACTTGCGGCTGTGACCTCAGATGCATGTATTGTAAGCAGCGCTTGCATCTTGTTCCCGAATAGATCCACTCAATGTGCATGAAATTTGCATAGCATCCGGAGTTAATATACCTTGTATTTTTTTATCTATATAAATAGTTAGGGTGTGAATAGATCTTAGTGGCTATATAAATTAATGACATAACCTATAAAAGTGAAGAAAGAATTATTTTCTACACGGATCTTCACATAAGATCTGACAAATACATCATCGACTAGACTTAAGTCTCACTCGACTGACATTTAGTAATCCTCAAATAGTTAGCCCCCGCTAAATCTCTACTACTTAAAAAGAACGTAAGGTTCTCATTTTACCTTTCTTCCCACCACCACTTCGTCCAACCTTCCATATATATGACAATCAATCATCTTACATTAATTTACTTACCTTTTGAACCAATTCCAATTTAATTTACTTACCAAACTTCTAATCAAAATATAAGGTAATTCATGGTCAGAATTTGATGAACATTTATTTACACAATCGCAGTATTATTGACAGGTAAATCACAAGCTAACGTACTAGAATATTTATATCCCGTTGCAACGGCATTGTTCTAGTTTATTTTAAAGAATATACAACTAACGCCACATCATTATGATTGACACATCACCCTAATTAGCTTAGCAAATGCATGCATGCGTCCCCCATATCCAGTTTCCTTCTCCCACACTCCCACGTGTTTATGTCTAACTTGCTTTCAACTGATAACCAAGAGCACATATAATGTTTATATTATTAATCCAAATATTCATCTTCATACAACCAAATTATTAAAATATATTGCAATCAATTCCCAGGGCAACACAAGCAGGGTATCATCTAGTTGCTATATAGCACACTTAGACTTAGAAATAATTATTTCTCAATTTGGTATTTTTCGATCGATCCTTATGTATTTGTGTCAATCTGCTTGTTTAAACTGAGTGGATCTTAGCGGGCTTAGGAATAGTTGTTTGTCAGTAGATAGATATAACCAGGCTAGCTTGGTCACACTTAAAGAAGTTTGACTTATGTTAAAGATAGCACTCCAAATAATTTGGAATAGAGTGAGTTACATATTAGCCGGTTAGAAAAATCTAGCTGCATGGGATCAAGAAGGCACCACTTCTCTATTGTTTTTTTTTCATTGGTTCCTCTGCCTCTCACAAGTTATATAGTGCCCAAAGAAAAGGGAATCCTAGTAGGAGTAAGCTTGTTGTGTAGCTTAGTTATATGTTAGGATAGTGTGTCTTTCACTATGGGATCAACAGACTAGAAACATGTTGCACGACCCCTTAAATCCCTATCCTGGTGCGGTCATCACAACCAAAAACAGGGAGCCAGTGGTATCCAAAATTGGTTTGGTGGCGATGGTGTTGATCCTTGGTGCTAAGTTTAGTTTTAATCAATGGTTTCTCCATTCTTCCCTTTTTTGTCTCCTTCCTAATCAATTCAGTAATGAAACATTGGTTTGGCATCCTGCCATGCATCATCATGGTGATAGTATGTTTAACAGTCTTAGAATGAAGTTTGTTCAGTTTGTGATGGCCGGTCTTCGACTTCTTCATTGGAGCATTGGATGAATGCCGAGATGCAGAGAATAGAAACCAAGATAACGATTTCGGCTAACCCTGCATGCAAGTTCTTATAATCACCATGGATCTGTTGTAGGTGTTGTTCATTTTATTTTGATTGATATGCTATATTATTTAATGAATAGGTTATGTTCATGCTCAAACAAATTATTGAGCTATCATATCTATCAACATCCTTTGGATTTTTTTTTGCATTGTTTTAGCGAGTGAAGTGCATCCTATGTCCTCTAACTATATTTCAGGTGTCTCACATAGGCCCCCGAACTATTAAAAGTGTCATCCAGGTCCATGAAGATCTTCAAAGTGCAATAAGTGTGTACATATGTACGTGACATCTTTGAAATAGTTTGAGGACCTACGTGGCACATGTGAAATAGTTTGAGGACCGGGATGACACACATATTGCACTTTGAGGATGTGGATGGCGATCTTCATAGTTCAAGGACCTACGTGATACCTCTGAAATGGTTCGAGGATCTATATATGATGCACTTCACTCTTTGTTAGCACACCACAAGAACACCCAAATGTTTTCCCTCCAAATGTGTATTGAGATGTTTTTCATTCTAAAGTCCTCTGGTAGCTATGGCGAATTAATCACAAAAACATGCGGTTGTCCCACCCCAGCCTGCACACAGTCCTTGCATATATGTAACCAGCGCATCACGGGATCAAAGTCTCAAAGCTAATTAACAAGGCAGACGCGTGCAGCGCCACAGAGAGCAAACATGTGATTGAATCAGACGCCCACATGCCCGTGCAGAAACCTCTTGTTGTGGCGACTGGCGACCCTGGCATGCATAGTGCTAAGCGTAGCCACCACCCTACGTAAATCAGACCGATTAACTAGTGTCCCCCCTCGTCCCTTGATGAACCCGTGTCAGTGGGCGGACCCGCGTCGTCGTCGACGTACGGCCACGACGACGATCGGCCGGCAGGCGCCAGACCAGGCCTAGTGAAATCGTGCTGCATCTACTGTACGATCTGTACCCTTCTCCTGCATGACGCTGTACGTTCCTCGTACCTTTGTCACGGTTAGTGGGCTCGCCATGCACTCTCTCTCTCTCTCTCTCTCTCTCTCTCTCTCTCTAGGAGGGTAAATAATTGTCACGGTTGGTGGGCTCGCCATGCACGCTCTCTCTCTCTCTCTCGTAGTAGTAGTTCAGATAGAAATTAGCGCTCTCTCTCTCTTCTCTAGTAGGGTAACTAACGTCTGTAGTAGCTGCTGCAAGCTTGCAACTAGCAAGCTTTCACTTTTTGCAATCGCTGCAGCTACGAAACACTTCAAAGAAGATACGAGGAGCGTTGCGTGTTTAGAGAAAAAGATCAGGGCTCTAATTCAAGACCCGTGCCATCTGTGCGGATTAAATACGGTTTGGTTTGGTCGTGTACTGTAGGACTATCATGATACGAGAGCAGCGATTCGGTGCTCAGGCTCATCTGCATCCGCTATAAAGATTTTTTTTAAAACAATACTAGAAAACTTTAAAAGAATTCTATTTTTTTGTATGGTAGATAATTTGATGCGTGAGGTGCGCTCTAAATTTCAAATAATTTGGACATCTGAGTGTTCTTGGAAAAAAATAGGGTCTGTAAAAAATATTACTATTCATGTATTGTTCTGACACAATTTGTCTTTTTTGTGGGAGCTACATATATGTCCAAATGATCTGAAATCTGGAGCGCACCTCACGTCACTAGTAGAAAACAGACCTTACGTTTGGATCATTAGTCCCCGTTTGATTTTGTTCCAGGACTAATGTGACCATGCAAAAGAAGGATTCTGTTGATTTTTTTATTGAATTGTTTCTTGACCGAGTGCAGATGAACCCGGGCTCATAAATGGATATTCGACATGCAAGTGCCTACCTTATTTAAATGTACCAGCATGCATGTTTTTGAAGGGGTGCTTAATTATTTTGAAACATGAGTGCTTGATCTGGAAACAATTCTTACGATGTGCCTGTATATACCTTTCACTCGTCAAACCTTGCAAACTAGGACAAGATAAAGAAAGAGTTGAAGGTCATATTTTCAACAAGATATGTGAAAAAACTAATGCAAAATTATTGGGTTATCCATCTCCTACGGTCCTACCGATATGAATATGACATGAGTAGAACAAATATGGATTACGTATTGAAAGGGTTGTATCTACATATAGATTTAACGTGTTCTGTAAACTTTAGATGCAAGTTCTAGTTACAAGATTCGGTGCCCATGCTCATCTGCACCCGCAATGAAGAGAACTTTTTTAAAACAATACTAGAAAATTCATTCTATATGTTTAAAATCTTATGGCTCTTTTGTGTAGAACTTGTTTTTTTTCAGGGAGTTATGTGTGTAGAACAAGTGACTTGCCAAGTTCATATGTAGGCCTTATCAATAACAATAAAAAAATGGCTCCCTCGACACCCCTTGACTTGCAAGACCTCGGTCCAATAGAATAGATTCATATCTACTTCATTGTACCCTGGTAAACAAGCTTAAATTCCCTCTTGCAACAATGCAATGTCCCTAAGCTAAAAAAACCAATGCATTGTCCCACCGACCCCACCTTGAGTGTGTTCTCTCCCAATCCCTTTCCCACCCCGCCTCTTCCATGTCGAACCCGCTCTTTGGTCATAATTAAAGCCACCCTCTTTCCACCTTCTTTGCTAGCTTAGGCACTATCGCACGCCAATTTCTAATGGTAGCGGGCTAATTATCTCCTCCATCGGCATCAAATCACACATTTAGTGTTCTTCTCAACCATAGCTAGTGGGATGCCTAGCATCCCTTGACATATCCCAACTACAAGTTGAAATGACATACTTGCCCCTAAGTGGTTTTGTGTTAATTACAACATGATTAGTGATGCAACCATGTGCTTGGGTCTATAAATAGTGTCTTCATACATTGTAAGGTAAGCAAGCATGGCGAGACCCCCCCCCCCCTGAAAAGTGAAAAGAGACGACATCCCAAACATCCCAATGATTTTTTTATTTCTTTGAGATATTAAGAAAGACATACTATAAACAGGTGGTGCGCTTTGGAGTAAGTGGTTGGAATCAACTCGCGTACACATGTAAATATTGCACAACGAAACCCACCCAGACTAAGAGAGAGCCCTTAAATTCCCCGTTTTGCAACTGCTCTATGTACCCTAGAACCTCCAGTCAGCCTCTGAGATGTCCAGAAGCTTGCTACCCCTGAGTTGCAGCTCTCAAAAAAGCTTGAAGCCTGCTCGGATACTTCCCAAAATCTCTGAGGTCCGAAATAGCTGGGTTGTCAAAAAGCATGCAACTCCTGAGTTGTAAATCTCTGGATAGCCCGAAGCATGTTCAGATGTTTTCCTGAGCCCCCAAGGCAGGTAGAATGACTGCATAATGTTTTGAATTTTGGGCTACCTATATAAGCACACCTTCTTTCCCATGAATAAGGTAAGGAATCAAGTTTCTTTTCCTCCATTAATGTGAATCTCAAATATTTGAGATCTCCTTCCCTAGTGCTCCAGTCTTGCTCAAACTTTAGGGGTAGCTAAAGGAGATCTTGATCTACACTTCCACAAAAGGAAAGATTGACCCCCCTAGATCCTAGGTGGATATCATTACCCGTGGAGTTTTTAGGGACTCCTAGATGGTTGGAGTCCTTCCAGAAGCTTCCTTGTTATGGTGTCCTCCGGATAAGTTTTTATAGGTTTTGGTGGTCACCTCAAAACCGACCTTTAATGGATTGAGGTCCTTCCTTTGGTGGGAGACACAAGGAGAATAAGGTGAACCTACCGTGGCATTCAGGAAGCTTTGACCCTCGCACCCCTCCAACTAAGATTAGCACTCTCCGAAGAGTGTGGACTTTTGGGAACATCCTAGCCTTCAACTTGTGGTTAATCTATATCCCACTCCTTTACTTTGTGCCCGTGCTTGCTAGCTAGCTGTTGCCCTTGCTTAACTGGTGTAGCTAGATTTTCCTTGCCATATAGGTTATTCTCACCTTAGACAACATATCCAGAGAACTTATTAGTCAACACTTATCATTAGAATTGTTAAGAAAATCCAAAAAAATTAGTCTTCTATTCATCCCTGCCCCACTCTAGTCGACCTCTTGATCCTTTCACAAGTCCCCCTTCCAACCTCCTCCCGAGTCCCATAATGCAAGAGTTTATCTAGCAATTTCTCCATTGAATTGTGGCATCCAACTCACCATGAGGGATATGCATGTATATATGATTTTATACGGTGGCACTAGCCATTGACTGGAAATGAATAATAATGACACCATTAATTGATCCTAGCACACAATCAAAAGGGTAGTACCAAAAGGATTCTCTGTTGATAACATAATAATGACTGGTTTTGTTTTGACGGATTCTCTTTTGACCTAGACTTATCAAACCTAGAATATTGATAACAAACATTTGGCCGTCAATCTTAGGAGATGAAAAATCGAGCATCG